AGTAGGCCCCGGTAGCCTGAGGCCCAGCACGAACGAGAACAGGCCTTGGGCCTGAGGTGGTTGCATGCCCCCAACTGCCTTTGGTCTGTGTTTGGCCTAGTACCCGTATCCAGCCCAGGGCCTGCTTTCCATACATTCACACAGGCGGCCCAGGGCCTGGGTTCTCTCAACCAACTGACGCACGACTCATGCAACCTGCTATAGGCCCAATTTTGTGTGTGTGTTTTTTTTTTTTCTTTTTTTTTTTTCTTTTTATGGTTTTGATTTTTTTTTAAATACACAAAGTTCTAAAAAAATAAAATAAAAAATAAATTGTTGTACATCTTTGAAAGATCTACAACCCTATATTTTTTATTTGTTTTTCTGTTTTTGTTTTAGCCCATAAAAAAATTGTATGAAACCCAAAACAAAAACACTCATTTCATTTTAATTTTTGTTTTTTTCATTGTGTGTTTATGTTTTTGATTTTTTTTTTAAACATAAAAAAATAAAAATAAAAATACAAGGTTCTAGTCCTCAAAACAACCTACAACCCCATTTTTTTATTTTTGTTTTTGGATAATTTTTAGCCCAGGAAAAAATTCATCGCGGACCCCGTTAATTCACGTCCAACGCGCGTTTGAACGGGAGTTTAATGCGAATTCAACGCGAGTTGATTTTTTCAACGTGGAACCCTCGTTGAATTCAAAATCGGACACACAGATCCGAGGGGCTGGTGGCAAAATCCCGTTTTTAGGATAAGTCAGCAATGTGAGGTCAAGGCAGGCATCCAGGAGTTGATTTGGTCATTTGAGCGGATGACCGTGCTAGACGAGATGGACCATGACATAATTCTCGGGAGACCATGGTGTGCCAATGTAGAAATGATAGGGATGCATCTGCATGACGACACATACATGGTAGACCTAGAGGATCCAGTAACTGGCCGTGGGGAACTCCTCCGACTCATCGGGACCGGAGGGGACCCACCTAAAGGAAAGTTAGCAACGTGGTCGCCGTCGTTCGAAGATAGCACACAGAATGGGGCTTTTACGCGAATGAAGGGTATGAGAGAAAGGGTAGAGATTATGATTGAGGAAGCATTCAATAAGAAAGAATGAATCAAGATGGGCCTGCCCAAGAAGAAGAGAAGGCAGGAGGACGAAGTCTTAGGTGTTATGATGGCAGAAAGGGAATCAGAAGTCAAACTCGGAGTCAACCTGCCCAGACGGAAAGAGGTGCGGAAAGAGGTACCGGAAATCGCACTCGAAATCCCCAACTTATGGAGAAGTACAGAAGGGGTATTGTCTGAATGGGAAAATAGTCAGTATTCAACCACGGGTCGCGGAGGTAACAAGAGTAGCCCCGACCGTTCATTTTTTAGGAGAAGGATCCCGGAAGGAAGTGTTCGAAAGTACAAGCTAGTAGGGAAGAATGCTAAGCCGGTCTCCATTCTGCTAGAGACCTCCAAGGAAGAGTCATGGAAAGGGAGGAAGAAGTCCTTCAAGTGATCCGAGAGAGGCGAGCGACGGAGGGGCATCGGATACCAGACGAGGTAGCTGATACAATGAAGATAGGAATAAAGGGATTCATAACGGAAGAAGAAACCCTCCTGATCAAAATGACATGTCAGGAGTTTCATCTGACATTTGCCTTTAGTGATCACCAAAAGAGGCGATTAGACGGGAAGCTAATTCCCCCGGTCAGAATCCACACGGTAGAGAATGAGTGCTGGAATGACAAGGGTTCGTTCTATGAATTTGGGATAGCAGGGGAAGTGAGAGACCTTCTTTGAGCAAAGATGGACTCCTTCGTCGCAGAGCCTACGACATCACCATACACGAACAGGTGGTTCGTCTTTCGAAAACCCAACAAGACGCTGAGATGGATTCAAAATCTGCAGAAGTTGAATGTAGTAACCATCCGGGATGTTGGTTCGCTACCTCAGGCCTGTTTATTAGCAGAGTCTCACACCGGCCGAAGCATTTACTCCCTGATAGATTGTATTCTGGGTACGACCAGCCTCCATTGGATACTCGGGACAAACCGTACACCGCGATGCACACCCCCGTAGGCCAGTTGCAGATGCAAGTGACCCTTGTGGGCTTTACGAACGGAGCTGCCGAAGCGCAAAGGAGAATGCTCGTCGTAGCCGGAGACATGTTTCCAGAGAAGTGTGAACCCTACATCGACGACAACCCGATCAAAGACGCCAAGGAGAAGGACGAGACGAAAGTCCGACCAAGAATTCGAAAATTTGTGTGGGATCATCTGCAGGACATCAAAGGCTTACTCCGCCGGTTTCTAGTATACAACATTACGGCTAGCGGACCAAAAAGTATTCTGGTCGTACCGGAAGTGACCATACTTGGATTCTGATGTGGCGTATATGGAAGGCAGTCAGACCCGGCAAAGACCGATAAGATATCACAGTGGCCAACGCCCCTGCGCACAACGACGGAGGTAAGAGCATTCTTAGGCGTGGTCGACTTTTGGAGGATTTTCATTAAAATTTGTGCCAAGATTGTTGAGCCTATTAAGGCCATGATCAAAGAAGAAGGAACCATGGATTGGACGGAGGAGCGAGAGGGAGCCGTCCAAACCCTCAAGGACATACTAACGTCTGAGCAAGTCGCCTTGGTAGCGCCCTGATTTAACGAAGAAGTGGGATTGTCATTCATCCTAGAGACGGACGGAGGACCCCTGGCCGTAGTTGGCGTACTGATTCAAAGGGATGAGGAAGGGAAAAAAAAAACAATTAGGTTCGAAAGTAGAACCCTGAACTCCGCATATCGGCAGTACTCATAGTTCAAGAATGAGATCCTAGTCATTTTGCATTGTCTCAAGACCTTCCAAGCCTACCTATTTGGGAGGCGGGTCATCCTAAGAATCGACCCAACGAATGTCCCAGGGGCTCTAAAGAACTACAAGCCTATAGACCCGACGGTGGGAAGATAGGTAGGATTCATCTGGCAGTTCGATTACAAGATCGAACGAATTGTTGGACTGAAAAACAAGGCCGAAGGGCTAAGCTGGGTCTGTAAGGGGTAGAAGATGTGGAGCCTATAGACGCGTTCCTTGAATACGAAGGAGGGACCCTTGCAGTGGATAATGAAATGATGGGCGAAGGATGCGCGTCGGGAAAATTGTTGATTCGGACCTTGGAAAAAGGGGCTTTTGCCGTAGTAGCAGAACTTAGAGAAGGATCAGTCACCACTCGAGGACGCAAGGAGGAAAAGGATTTGTCGGGAGCAATGGTAGGACCGAAGGAGGAATTGATAGCAATGGCGGTTGATGGAGGTCGGGAAGCTGTGATAAGCCTGGTGGAGTCTTGGGAACGAAAAAAGTTGCAGCTGATAGTAAACGAGATGCAGGAGAGAAAGGACGAGGATCAGTAAGGAACATAATTTTTCTATGTTCAGATGTACGAAGGGATTTTCTAAGAGATTGGATTGTTACTGGTAGGAAACAAACAACCCATGAAAGTCAGCCTTAAAGCAAGGGAGGAGGCCGAGAGGTACGTACTAAGGAGTGGTCATTTGTTCAAAAGGGAGGAAGGTGTTATGCCTAGAACAGTTGTATGCGGAAGGTCTAGGCAGTTGGACGTGATCCAGACAATGCACGACGGACTAGCAGGAGGACATCGATCGTCCAAAGGAACTCTCACAAAGATGACACCTCTCTATTACTGGCCAGGCATGGCAGGTATGGCCGCCACGTACTGCCAGACCTGCCTAATCCACCAGGAGCGGAGCTCGGCATGGGTCTTCGAACCACTTAGGCCAACTCGGGTGCTGGGACCAGGACATCTGTTTCACCTTGACCTTGCGGTTATGCCCGTGTCCAATGATGGGTACAGGTATATCCTGGATGCGCAGGACAACTTGAGTGGGTTCGTGGAGGCGGTCGCTCTTAAGAAAAAGATGGGGAAAAGCATAGCAAATTGGATAGAGGACTTCTACTTGAGGCATCCCTTCATCAGGAGGTTTATAGCAAATAATTAAACGGAATTTATGAACCAAGAAGTGTAGGGAATGCTTAAAAGGCTCTGTGTACCGATCAAACTCATCGAGCCGTAACACCCGGAGGCCAATGCACCTGTGGAAAGGGGGCACCAGACCTTAAAGAACACAATTGCGAAGCTCGCAGCAGACAATCTGGGAAGTTGGCCTAGATATCTTAAGCAGGTTGTCTTCTTAGAGAACATGACACCTAAGAGGAGAACGGGGTGCATCCAGGCGGAACTTTGGTATGGAAGGGAGATCGACTTTCTCGTGGACGCCTTGATATCTACTTGGAACAGGCTAGATGATGATCTCTGTATGACCACGGAAGAATTGATTGAGGCACGATGTCAACAAATCCTTAGAAACGAGGAAGTCATGGAAGGCATTGCTAAGGGAGTACTAAACCGCAGGATGAGGGACAAGGCAAGATAGAACCCGGTTAAGAACATCCGAAAGGAACCACTTCAGGTGGGAGAGACAGTATTGGTAAGGAACTCGGCACTAGAAAGTACCTGGTCTGTGCAACTAGGGAGGAGGTTCAAAGGCCCCTACCGGATCGCTAAGCGGGTGGGACTGAACACCTTTCAATTGAAAGACTTTGATGAAAGAGGATTGAAGGGACCCTTCCCGGGGCAACGATTGGTCAGGTTTCTAAGTCGGGACCCAGTGGAACAATGGCTTCAGGAGGCCCAGGATAAGGAAACCGAGGAATCTACAAGCTAAGAACTTACGGTAACCTTGCTCACACTGCATTTTGTCTCTGACTACGACTGTGGGAATTTCCTTTGTGGGAGGGGGCAATGACTTGGGCTGATTGAGAGTGCAGGGCGGGATGCCCAGGAACGTCTGTGCCAATGGGGTTTCGTTTGTGTGTGGTAATGGAAAAAGTTGTCGGGAGCATTGTACCATAGTTTTTTAGGGAAAAATAAAGGGATCTTTACGAATGCGTCATCTGCATGAAGGGGGCAATGTACGATAAGGGTTTTGAGCAAGGGATACTGGGAACACTCTGGGGGAAAGGGGCATTCTCCTACCAAAATTGGGGCGGACGTGTGTATGGGGGGCTCGGTGGGTGTTGTTTTGTTATACAAGATTAGGAAAGAAGCTTTAAAAAAACGAAAATGGAATTCGGCAACGAAAATGATAGTGGTGCCATCAATAGGCCCAGCGAAAGGGGGGAAGCAGGACCAAGTCAAGAGCAGAGGCCCATGAAGAGAAAACTGTATATAGGATACCTGTCCAAGCAAGTGGTAGGCAGGGGAGCGAGAAAGCGTGTGTGTAGAGGGTCTTCGCCCCTCCGGAAGGGAGAAGGTATACATATCTTATCCGGAAGTGAGAGCGAGGAAGAAGGGGCGAGTGTGGGAGAAGGGGGCAGAGCAGCAGGTGAAAAGACTCGCGCCTCTGCCGAAGGAAGGGCCAAGAGATGCGAGCAGCATGAGCCTTGGCATGGGGAGAACGAGGGGAGGCAGGACATTTGCGACGGATGCGAAGATGGGGAAGAGAGAAGGAAAAACCCGCGTGAAGAGTGGAGTGGCAACGACAGTTGTGAGGGGAGATACCCAGACTTTGAGGAAGGATATAGGAGGAGGACAAAGATCCCTTATAATCTAGATCCGAAGAACTTCATGGGTGAGTTCAGCCCCATACGGGCGGAAGAGGATGTGGACGAGGAGGAGGAAGTGCAAGAGGTTATAGAGATCAGCAATGACGATGAGAAGGATAAGATTTCAAGGCCCAGAGAAGAAAGGCGACCCCCGGCGAACCGACCGCGCGGAGGATCCTTCAGATGGGAGGATGAGTTTGGACCGACGCCCAGTCATTGGTTTGAGCAGTGGCTTAGCGTAATCAAGCACGATTGGATTATCAAGGTCAGGGAATTCATGGAGGCGGGAGTCGCGGTCACGCCCTTGGACTTTTACAATGAGAAGGAACTGCAAGAAATTGCGAAGAGGAAGAGAGAAATCCTGGCCTCCGGCTTGGGAGTTAAAAAGCCAGCAGAAAGACAGGATGGGCAAGGGACCGAGCGAGATGAGACACGTGACAGTAATAAGGATTACATGTTATCAGCATTGAACAATAATTGTGCTTTCCTTTTGCAAATTTGGGATGACAAAGCTTGTAGAGTATGAGTAAGCTTGCTAGGAATAAGTGATGAAAGGACTAACTAAGACCATGCCACGATGAGTTAGAAAATAAAATTTTGAAGCTACTTTCTGAATGAGCTACCTTCGAAAGAGTATATGCAAGACAATGACACGGGGCATGGGATGATACTGGTTGGGAAGGGTGTACTACGAACTTTGGATGGGAAAATGATTATGCTTTTGAGAAGAAACCGTGAGTGCAGATTGACGAGCAAAGCGAGGCATTGAATTGGTCGAACACAAGAGAGGTTAGGGAACCTATTCGTAAAAGGGCATGAAGAACACCCCTTCCCTAGGAGCCTAATCCAACTGAGTCATGAATGAGTCTGAAAATAGCCAAGAGCTGAGAGACCAGAAGAAGTGAAAATAGAGGGGGTGCCCCTGTCTTTTGCTATGGTTGAACGGTCGGGTGGGCTAGTGCTGGTTGGGGTTGCGAGCCTCAACTCGAGCAGTAGACGCTAAGTCGGATGTATGCATGGATAGTAAATTGCATTGAGAAAGGATGAAGGGAACCGCATGCAGAAAACTGAAAAAAAATGGTCACGTTCTACCCCCCGAGACAAAGATGGGATCCGTGTCCTCAAGGCCCACCCCCTCAGGCGCTAACATTGGAATGGATAAGGACAATTCTGACAATGCCGCTCAACTGGAATGGGAAGGAATGAGCCTAACCAGGCTGTTCGACTTGAGAATGGAAAGGAATGGCCCTAACCAGGCTGTTCGACTTGAGAATGAAAGGAATGGCCCTAACCAGGCTGTTGAATCTGAGAATGGAAAAGAATGACCCTAACCAGGTTGTTCGAAAATGGTCCCGAACAACCAGGCTGTTCGACTTGAGAATGAAAAATAATGACCCTAACCAGGCTGTTCAACTTGAGAATGAAAAGGAATGACCCTAGCCAGGCTGTTCGACTTGAGAATGAAAAAGAATAACTTTAACCAGGTTGTTCGACTTGAGAATGAAAAGGAATGACCCTAACCAGCCGTGTGGAATAGAAAAAGTCGGTGGGTCGGTCATTGAAATAGCCAAGAGAATAGACGAAAGAGAATGATGCCTTGAAAGGAGAAGGGCGGGATAAAGGAGGCCGAACCTTAAGTCGAGAAGGACGTAGATCGTTGGGACGGTCATAAGGAATGGATATTGGGAAATGTGAAATTGAGAATTGAAGGTGGGCCTTCGGGCGGTCTTGGAAGATGGCTATTGAAAAAACGACCACCATATCGGTCACAAGGGGTGACCTTGTTGAAGAGAGGTTATCGGACCAGCCATGAGAATCATCCCTGAGAAAGAACTGGAAAAAACATCGGATTGAGTGTTTTTTCTGAGAACTGGATATTGCATTGCATAATCAGGGGACACTAGACGATTTGAGGAAAGGTCATCGGGCCGACCATGAAAATTGCAAGAGATTGAGTTTTGTTTCCTTTCTAGTCTCAGGTCCCAACATGAGGGGCAGTGATGCATGCACCACGACCCCAGGACCTCTATCCGTCAAGGGAAAAGTCTCAGCGCGACCTATTCCTCATAAGGAATGATAAGGGTTGAAAGACCAAGGCATTTTTCTCTTTCATCGATGCTCGTTATCCGGAACTACCTGAGACAACGAGCCGTAGTCGAGGATTTCGAAATGCGCCTCATATTGAGAACCTAAACGTCAAGGGCGTGGAGCCAAACGGGCATGAGAGCCATTTTTTTCCTAAGTCTCATTTTCTCTCCCCAACCACACGCCATACCGTAGGGGGGCGACGTTGTCGTTTGGGATGGACCAAGGTTGCTCGCATTAAGTTGAGCGGCACTGTCCAAAGGGAGGGGTTGGGCGGGGTACCGGGTGGAATCCGCATCCACCACAGGGCGAGTGACACCGCCCTACAACCGTTTCGAAACTAACCGCGGGGTCTTCGAAACTGCACTCGCAGACTAATAGAGAGCCCAAACTCTCTTGAAAGGAAGAGGCCGGATCCAAGAAAATACCACTTAGGAGAAACGATTCGCGAGGGGGTCACTTATGGTATAATGAGGTCCTGGAAGGCGTGGACTGGACCCACGTAACAGATGCGAGGAGACACCTCAATGATAATGCCCATCTTCATAGAAGTGGTCGTCGGACTAGAGTAGAGGATGGGGTGAGTTATCAGCGGGGGAGGATTGCTCACCCTTCGTTTTTGAGGCTAATGGGCCGGCATCCGTCTACTTCGTTGGCAGGGCAAGGTCTGCGTACCTCCAAGTGAGAACCAGTCGTGCGATGGGGACATCGCATTTTGAGTGGGGGGAAGGTGTGTCATCTACCGATGACAAAGCGTGCAAAAAGATAAGGTTACCATGAGCTCAAGAAATGTTTGTGTAATTGACTTTACAGGGGCTTGAGAAAGGCCTGGCAAGATGTCAAGAAGAGAAAGACATGAGTAATTGACTTTGCGTGGGCTTGAGAAAGGTCTGGCAAGATGTCCAGAAGAGAAATATTTGTGTGATTGACTTTGCAGGGGCTTGAGAAAGGTCTGACAAGATGTCCAGGAGAAAAATGTTTGTGTAATTGACTTTGGATGGGCTTGAGAAAAGCCTGGTAAGATGCCCAAAAGATAAATGAATATGTAATTGACTTTGTGTGGGCTTGAGAAAGGTCTGGCAAGATGTCCAGAAGAGAAAGACATGTGTAATTGACTTTGCATGGGCTTGAGAAAGGTCTGGCAGAATGTCAAGAAGAAAAGATGCATATGAAATGGACTGGGTAACACGCATGTAAAATTTATTGAGCTTGGGTGCAAGAAAGACATGCATGTGAAAAAGGCAGGACTAGAGAAAAGTCGGGCAGAATGACCTGGAAGAAACACATGTGAATTTGGTTGAGCTTAAGATTGAGGAAAGGATGACGAGAGGCATGGATTGCGTGGACCGAAGAACCGAGTGAAAGAGGCACTGAAGGCAATGGGGGCCGAAAAAAAAAACTTGGTTGGCATGGGATGGAAGGAGGACCAGCCAAAGGGCGTTTGGGATGGCAAGGCTCGAGGGAGAAGCGGGGGCAGCAAGAAGGGGAAAAACGAGAAAAGGCTTGATGTACTTCGGGAGATGAATGAGAAGAGGGAAGTTGAGAAAATGCTTGATGTATTTCGGGTGATAAATGAGAAGAGGGAAGTTGAGAAAATGCTTAATGTACTTCCGGTGGTAAATGAGAGGAGGAAAGTGGAAAGAGAGACTGATGTTCTAGGAGTGATGAACAAGACGAAAGAGAGTTTGATGTTCTAAGAGTGATGAACGAGACGAAAGAGGTCTGATGTTCTAAGAGTGATGAACGAGACAAAAGGGGTCTGATGTTCTAAGAGTGATGAAAGAAATGAAAGGGACCTAATGTTCTAAGAATGATGAATGAGACCTAGGAAACCTAAAGGACAAAGAAAACTTGAATCCTACACACCTCTCCCCACTCCAAGGACCGGAGACTAGAAGAAACCCGAGAAAAGCAACAAGAAAAGACGAAATGGACCCTGACAAACTAACCACCTATGCCATTCCGTCCTCCTCTCCGATCTATCCCTCCAAACCCCCACTGGCAGAAGATTGGTGTGCGAAGAGGACATCGCGAATGAGTGGGGGAAATGTGTCGGGACCGGTGGGTCCCAAATAACATCCCTCCACTCAAGAGACCGTATATAGCCAGATTGTGCACGACAGAGAAATCTGGAGTAAGGAAGTAAGAGACAAAAAAGATAAAGGACTAGTCCACCGGAAGGAATGATGTCCTAGGTCGAGAACTGTCGGGGAAAGAACCAGCGACGACAAGCCAGTAAGCACAAGGACATGGGCATATAGAGGCATAGCATGAGGCCAGGAGGGTCACTGCAATTCGTCATAACTCAGGCCAAGGGGTCGTCAACTTGCAAAATGCGGCGCGACGGACGATGAGAGAATTGGGCGGCCGACAGGTGGACGGCCCGGTGGCCATGGGACGCTAAAAATCAAGGGTCCGACGTGGGGGCCGCCCCTTGGCAGTTAGCGGGGCGAGGCCCCACGGCCGAAGGAACCGATGCGTGTAAGGCCCAAGAAAGACAAGGGAGAGGGGTCGTTGTAGGGGGGCAAAACGCCCAAAGAACATAAGACACCTTCGGGAAGGGCACCAGGGGCCACGTGGGACTAAGTAAAAATAATGGTATCCGGGATAAAATATGTCGGGGACCACCGGCGGGACAAAGTATCGGGGACCACCGAGGGGACTAAGTGTAGGGGACCATCGACGGGACAAGTAGCGGGACACGTGAAAGTCTCAAGAAAAAATGGCGGCACCACATGAGGGAAAAAATCATTAAGACAATGTGCACTGTCAAGATCGAGATCTTGACGACAAAAAATATTAGCACCGCTAATGCAAGCACTAGCGGTAGCAAACGGGAATGCCAAAAAGAAAAGAAAAAGTAAAGAAACTTGAAGGGGGAGGCATGGAAGCAATCAGAAAAATCTCGGATCAGCGTCCCTAAACAAAATGGAGTCAAAAGGGACCCCATGTAAAAAATAGGCATTTGAGAGAAAATCGGAGTAGGAAGGGTCATCGTGGGAGGAAAATAGAGGTAAAGGGAAACTCCCATGGGCATGAGAAGACCATTATTGCAGTCCGAGATACAACGGACTGCACCTTGGGCATAGGAAGGGCCAAAACTAGGAGGAAGGACCTAGAAAAGGGCCCTAACGGCCACTCGACACTTGACATGCTAGAAAAATAAAGAAAAGAAAAATAAAATGTGGGAGAATAAAACAAAAGGAGTGAGAGGAAGTGAGTGAGTTGCCCATCAGTAGGTACTGGCAGGTCCCTACAGTCCAAGAAAGGAGGAAAAAGAAAAGAAAAGAAAAGAGAAAAGAAAATAAAAAAGAAAAAGGTCTTAATGGTAAAAAACGACCACTTGGGGAGGTACATCCGTGACCAGATTCATTCTGGAATATGGCGGTTGCAAGGAGCCTTGATTTTCTTTTGATTTTGCAGAGAAAATCAAGGAAAATCAACCCCCCATGCAACCGAAATACAACGGATTACATGGGGGAGGAGTAACACATGTTTTAGGTGCATCCGAAGTCAAAATTGAGCCCGAATCCACTTGGAAGTTGACCGTTTTTCTTTCTTTCAATAGAGGGCTAGTTGTGGGACATTGGGGCTAAGGAGTTCACCCTTAGTGCGGTCTGAGTTGCAACGTGCTGCATGGGGAAGGGAAAACACATGTTTTAAGTGCATTAGGAGCCAATATTGAGGTCGGATGCATTTAGGAATTAAACGATTCATTTTCTTCTAGTATGGGGCAAGTTGTGAGGCTGTGAGACTGGGAAAATAGCCATGATTGCAGTCCGAGAAATAACGCACTGCATGAGGATGCCTAGGCTAAAGGAAAATGAGCCACGACAAGCCCAAAAGGCTAGAAAGAAGTGATTTCGGCATGGGGCAAGTAGAGACGGTAAACGGCAACCGTGAGATGAGATCTCACGGCTAAGAAAAATTGGTACACATGTGGCATCTAAGGAAGAG